GACGCTGCCGACACCGCTGCACCTGGCTCAAGTTACGTGGAAACTGTTGGGGACCTTTTGGGATCATAGGGAAAGCCATTAGCGGCGAATAGCGGCCAAGAGCTGCGAGAAACCCGCTGGGTTGACTTAGTCTCGAAACCTGAAACCCTTTGGTCACCTCATCTAGTCAAACCCTCCCTCGTTGCAGCCGGACGTTTCAAGGTTTGGGTTTTTGGCTTACGGTTCACGGTTTAGGGCTTAAGGCTTAGCGGGTAATGGGTAAGGGTATAGGCTTCGGGTTCGCGTTTGCGACCCACGATGTTCCGTGGTCCTGCCTGAATCCAGCAGTACGGAATTTGTCTATAAGGTTTGGTATGCTCGCTGGTAGGCTGATCGTGACTTGCACGTCCGATCCTGCTGGAATTTGTGGCAACACGCAGCCTGTGCCAAAAAGCCACCGCTCACGCAGTCCGGCTGGTCATGGTGCCGAGGAAAGAAGCGCGTTTATGATCCAAACGAGGGACCCGATTTTCGANNTTCGAGCCGAGAATGATGGTTTGCAAACACCCATTCTCGAGCCGAGAGTGGTGGTCTGCAAAATGCCATTTTCGACCCGAGACGGATGGTTTGCAAACTTTTTTTTCGAGCCGAGATTGGTGGTTTGCAATTTGCAAACCCCAGTTCTCAAGCCGAGGAGAACAGGGGTTTGCAGAGCCCCATTTTCGAGCCGAGACTGATGGTTTGCAAACCCATATTTTCGATCCACTACCATCCACAACTAGCCACTGATAGCCAGGAAGATGCACTAATATCCACTGATATCCACTGGTAGCCACTAATATCCACTAATCGCCACTAACAGCCACTAATGACCACTAATAGCCACTAATATCCACTAATAGCCACTAATGGCCACTAATATCCACTAATATCCACTAATAATAGCCACCAATAGCCACTAATAGCCAGTATAATAGCCGCTATAGCCACTAATAGCATACGCTATACTAGCTTATGGCCACTAATAGGTTCAGAAAACACTTTTCGTGATTCACAAAAGGTTCCCTAGGAAATGCATATAACTCAAGTCAGTGAGAGCCTGTCCGGATGAGATCGCCAGCTGGCCTGAAGGATCTCGACGCAAAGCCCCAACACCTGCAGAGACAAGCGAGACTGCAACGAACCAGGATCAACGGACCAACCCCAGCCCAGCCCAGGCGAAAACACCTAGACCTAGAACCTAGGACCCAGCACATACGACGTACGACCTTCAATCCCTAGGCCCAGGCCCTAGGCCTTTCGTTCTGAGCCAGTAGGAGGACTTTTAGCAGTACCGAGGGCCTAGGGCCCAGGGCCAAGGCCCAAGCAAGAACCCCACACCGAGCTCCAAGCCTGGAGTCTGGGAATCCGGGAGCTCAGCGCGCACAGCCCATGCCGAGTGCCTGAACCACGGGCGAGTTACCAAACAGTTTAAAGCTTCACTGAAAGGACATGACAAGTGTGCCTGCCGGGCGAAATGCTCCCCCCCGATCGAACACTTGAGTCAAACTTGAGCAGATGGACCGGCAACGATTGCAAGCTTCAGGCTGCCAGTGACTCCAACGACAGCTGCAGACGTGACTACAAAGACTCGCAAAGACCGCACTGCACAATGCATTGAACATGTCTGCAATGTCTGCGTCAACTCTGCAGCAATGCGGCAATGAAGAAGAGTGAGGTCTCAAAAGCCTGTGATCATGATGCTAACGTGACTGCTATCTATGACTTCCATGATGCTGCCTGTTTTCCCATCAATGTGCATATCCTAGAAACGTGTCCTTGCGGAGCTTGCTTGCACCCTGCGCTCCCGCTTGAGCATAATCCGATCGAGAGATCATCGCATTAAAAGCTTGCTTAAGAGAGCCACGTCCGACCCAATGGATCATCGCGACAGCCGAGTGGTCAAGCTTGACCAGAACGCTTGTTTTTCGGCCAGAGCACCAAAAGTCGCATCCACTCCCTTCTTCACCTTCTGTGAAGTGGCAGGGAGAATCGCCGCTGTAAGAAGGGGCCCCCGTCAAAAGAATGTGAAGCCCTCTTCATACTTTCGCAATCCTTCGCTGGCATCTGCAGCGAAGGTGCCGTAGAGCAGCTTCACACAAGCGCAGAACTGCAGTTCCGGAGCATGTGCAAACTCGACTTATAACACATGAGCAAAGTCGAAGCCAAAACTGAAAAGAGGACCCATGCTACAAGCTGCTCAGTTGCTATGCGCGAAGCTCTCGAAGAGCTGCAGAGCCAAATCAAGGATCCGTCTTCTTGGAATCCCCGGAACCTGTTCCCGCACGAAGGGATGCGATCTGGGTCTGAATGCATTCGAGGGCGGCCGCATGCGAACTAAGCACCGCAGAGTGGCCCCTGTGAGCTGCCTGGAGATCGCCCACCTCGGAAGTCAAAGTAGCAAGCGCGAGCTCCAGCGAAGAACGGGTGCCCGGGGAGGCCGAAGACGGCCGGCTGCCCGAAGCATCTGGCGTCGGCGGCGCATTGTCATGGACCTGTTCCCCCAAGTGCTGCACCATACGCCGCTGAAGATCTCCAAGAAGATCAGCCACACGCCCAAGCTGATCTTGCAGCAGGGATGTTGCATGCTTTCCACGGCGGAGACCCTCCGCAACATCACGAAGTCGGTTGCCGAAGAAGCGCAGGTCGGCCTCGAGGGACTCCTGGCGCTTCTCCACGGATCGCAAGCGGTCTTCAATGCTGGGCTGCTGGACGTCTTCCTCGGAAGACTCTGCAGCGGACGCCGTCTCCGACTCCATGTTCGCAGGCCCCGCAGGGTGCAAGTCCTGACGACGATGCTCGTCCGTGTCACTCTCCAGGTCCTCAGCAGAGGAAGCCGCCGCTGCCGCCGGCTCCATGCTCGGATCTCTAGCTTGCTAGACCAGGGCCTGAAACCTGCAATCTTTACGGCCCCGGTTTCCTCACTAAAACAAAACACGCATGGCCTGAGCACTCCACGGCCGCCGCTGAAAATAGCATTCTGAAAAAGTTGCTGAGAAGAGAGCACATGCCCAACAAAAACACAAGCAAGCAGACCAGTAAAATAAGGCAAGCCGACATGGAAAAACCCTACAACACATAAGCCAAACATGTTCAGTTTTGCAAAACAGATCGAGTAAACACGATGACCGCAATGCGGCAATGAAGAAGAGTGAGGTCTCAAAAGTGCTATGCGCATTTTTGACGGGAACTTGCTGCATCGCTCAACGGACGAGGATCCACGCAGAAGGAAAAGGTAACACAGGTAACAGAAGGAATTTTAAGACACCCTGTCAACAAAGAGGGCAAATTCCCTCGGAGCAAAAGAGAAGCAAGGGAAACCACAAACAATTATATATCACAATAATAGAATACATAACAACTAGAACTATGTACGGTTTGTGTACTTCAGACTTTGTTGGCTTAGTTCTGCGGGATGTTTCGTTTCCCCAGTGACCCAGTGCAGCGAGTTTGAGCTTCCCAGTTCTCCATTGCCGTCTGTCACAGGCAGCGTGTCCGTCCGTGGCATTTGGTGCTCTACCCGAGCCGGGGCGCAAAGCTTTCTTTAGTCGTAGATCGCTTTGCCGCTTTGCTGCTGTCCATGGAGGAGGCTAGCCGCCATCCGGATGTCACGCTGCAAGAGCCAGCGAATCTGGTTCGGGAGGCCCTTCTTGAGTGTGGGTGCGGCAGGGAACTTTGCCGTGCATTGATTCCGCTGCTCGCAAGTTGCGGACCACATCGTGGACTACGTGCTCGATATTTGGCCCGCCAACTCAGCACGGCCTTTGCCATGGTGCTCCGGGATGAAAGTTGCGAGCAATTTTATCGCATCTCGAATCTCGCGACTGCTCTGTCCATCTTGAGCCGCTACCTTAATAGAATCGTCGAGGTTGACCCTCCCGGCCATGATGCTCGTGATGATGATGGCAGTCGGCAGCGGAGTCGTCGGGCTCGTGATGATGATGGCAGTCGGCGGCGGAGTCGTCGGGTGAGGCAGTGGGCCATGAAGGCACGTGTTTTCCTTGGGGGCCGACGACATGGGCACGGGCGACGAGGACGCAGATATGCCTGAGCAGTAGCTACTCAGCGCTGCACTTGGGAAAAGGAAAACGAATAAGCAAAGGAAATTGGCAAGGATGTCGGATATGGAAAGAGCAAAGGCGAAGGAAAATGTCAACAGTCAAGGTAAAGGAAAATGAAAAGCCAAAAGTGCCAAAGGAAAGGGCAAAGTCAAAGGAACCGGCTGTTTCAATTGCGGTTCACATTCACACTGGAAAATAGCGTGGAAGCTGCTGGTATTCCTTGTTTTGATCATTTCCAAGACGTGACGTGGGAGTCTTCTTTGGTTGTTCCCACTGTCGTTGTGTGTTTCCTCTTGCCCGGTCCTATTTGCTTTGCAATATGTGCCCATGGCCTTTGTTACCCTTGTTGTTCCCGACAGATTTGCTATTTAATGTCCACTAATCACTAATCACTAATCTTTATTCAATAATAGTCACTAGTCACTTATCATCATCATCTTGCTTTCTTGTTTCTCTTTCGCTCCCATTAATTATCCCATTGGCTTGGCATGATTTCTTTTTGTCGTTCCTTTTTGTTTGCATTTTTCCCTCTTCCCCATTGTGTGTGCAGTCGTATCCCTGGTGGATTCCATTTTTTCTCCTTTTTTTTGCGTTTTTTCTGTTCCTTTTTTTCCCTTTTTCGTTCCCATTAATTTTTCTTTTTTTTCTCCTTTTTCGTTCCCATTAGTTTTCCTTTTTTTCCCCTTTTTCATTCCCATTATTTTTGCTTTCTCTTTACATGGCTGCTTTTTTTTTGCATTTCTGTTTGCAATATTCTTGGCTTATTTTCCTAAAATAAATGTTTTGGAACCCTCCCAATGGTAGCTCCTATCGGCGACATAAAACTATAATAAGGAGCCCCCAAAAACCTTATTCTAATATTATGAAGGCCCCTACAGTCCGCGCAAAAAGAACATGTCTTCCAAGGCCCTACCTAGCGACAGATCTCAGGCCCCAGCCATGGAAGAACCACCACTGCCCCCGCGCCTTCCGAAAGCGTCGTAGCACATGGCTGGGTCGGTGTAAGACCTCATATACCGTCAAGTTGACCATCATGTAAGCCGTGGCTCTGGCGACGAGCCCACCTAGGAAGAGCACGAAGATCATGTCCAATGCAGCTGCTGTCAGAACCATAATCGGCTGTACTTCGGGCCCCAGGGACCCATTTGTCAAGGCCTCTAGAAGCTCAGAGAAGGAGCCTCGCGAGATCTCTGGAAACACCGTGTCAAAAGCGTAGAGAAAGACCGCGTAGTAGAAGTAGAAGATGGTGGCAAGAAGCACCACAATGAACAAAAAGAATGACCTTTGATTTCTCAAACCAACACTGTTGTTTATCCAGGGACAATAATGGTCCATCCTCTCGACACATCGACCTTGTTCCTTGCAATGATGGGAGCGCATGCTGCGTACTATGCCGCAGAATACGCAGACCTGCTTGAAGTCGCCTTGCTCCACCAGTGTTAGATACCTAGGATCCCAAGAGTCCCCTGAATAATAAGGGTGCCCCTTTTGTCCGAATATCAGGTAACATAAGGGAACCCTAAACAAAAAGGAGGCAAAAGGGTACTACTGGGGAACCCTAAACCCTAAACCCTAAACCCTAAAGCCTAAACACTAAACCCTAAACCAAGATACTCACCACGGCCTTCCGCCAGGAGGTGCTCCACTCGAGCACGGCCGAGGCTCTCTCCTGCAGCCCGTTCCTGCTCCTGCAGAGTCGCTGTGGGTTTAGGGTTTAGGGATTAGGGATTAGGGTTTAGGGTTTAGGTAGGGCTTAGGGTTTAGGGTTTGGGGTTTGGGGTTTAGGCTTTAGGGTTTAGGGTAGAAGTATCCTGCAGAGTCGCTGTTGCCCGCTCCAGCTGGGCGTGCCCCGAACCTAAGTTCTCATAATGAGGGTGCCCTCCTTCCTTCTATTCTAAACCCTAAACCCCTAAACCCCTAAACCCTAAATTGAAGTTTGAATAAGGAAACCCAAAAAGTCAAAAGGGCAACAGGGTACTACTGGGGAACTTAGGAACTGCCATCATTGAATCCCGAGCCGATCAAGGGCTGCATTTCGCCCAACGCTGGGCTTCGAGGTCTGCCGAGGCCACAGCCTTCTTGAAGTCGTCTGCGTGCTTCTCGGAGAAGTTGCCGCTGATAGTTGTACTTGTTTTGCTCTAGCTCCAACTTCCTAACCTCCAGGGCATCTCCGTCCCCTGACGATAGCTTTTGAAGCACGCTGTCGCAGTGAGCCATCTGCGACTCGATCGGCTGATCAACGTCAAAGGTCCGCGCTGGATCTTTATCAAGCAGATGGCTCTGAGAGGGTAAGGTACATGGCTGCAGCCAGCCAGGATCCGAGAAGAGGCACTGCACCCAGAGCAGCAGTGACAAACCCATCAGCATCGACCAGTGCATGACGGCTTCAGGATTTCTGGCCGCAATTCCTGGCGCTATGATAAGTGCAAAGATGATGATGTGGTACGCAACGGAACACAAGAAGGCACTTGGCAGGAGACTCGTGAAAAGATGTGGCCTGCCGAACAGACAATCAAAGACCTGCCACTTGTGGAAGGCAACCACCAAGGACCTGTTCCCCTTACGCATTGCGAGTGCGATCGGGGTTTCGCCGGTGCAATCTGGGACGTCTATGAGCTCCACCGCACCGACTTCCATCAGCATTTCCGCGACCCGCTTGTGTCCTTTCAGCACTGCCCAGTGGAGTGCAGTCATGCCCTCTTGGTCTCGGTGAACAATGCTGGCGGATCGCGAGAGCAACCACTGGACTGTCTTCTTATTCCCTTTGTAGCATGCCCACTGCAGTGCGGTTCTGCCAGAGTCATCCTGCTCTTCAAGGCTGACGCCTTTGAAGTACAACCACTCCATCACGAGATAGTTGTCCGTCTGTGCGGATACAATGAAGGGCGTAAAGCCGTCACAGTCGCGAATTGAGAGAAGGGCTCGGTTGGTCCTCGTCATCTTGTCTAAAGCAATGACATTACAAGAGTTCGCAGCCCAATGTACTGCGCACTCTGCGGAATTGTTGCCAACGTCGGGTCGCGCCCCTCTTTCAAGCAATGGGTCGATCAGTGTGTCCAGCCTGAGCAAGGCAGTGAAGTGGAGAGCCTTAGCTGCCCAGTACCCTGGCCCAAAAAAGTTTAAACTTTTCTTTGTGTAGGGGTTTAATATACCAAAAAGGTTTAAAGTTGACCTATTGGGCTCCTAAGGAGCTGTGTTGCCGTCGGAGTCCTGCCCATCTGCTCCAAATCCCTGCGAAAGCATCTCGATGACTGCCTGGGTGTTCTGGTGTGCGGCAGCCTCTGCAACGGATGCATATCCGCCGCTGCTGCTGCAGGCTGTGGGATTTGACGCATAGCTCCTCATGCTTAGAGGCAACTGGGGACCGTCCTTCACGACTCGATTTACCATGGCCAAACTACTACTTTGCTTGTGCGTTTGAACCGTCTGCGCCAGATGAAAGTTAAAAACCCGTGCCTTCATACTTAGCATCGGCCTCTCAAGGGCGACATCATGTGTTCTGTGCCTGGCCCCATAGCAGTTCATGCAGCCATAAGGATGATAGTATGGATGCCTGAAGAATCCTAATAGGGTGCTTGGGGGCGAAAGGGCATACGATTGCTGATCGTTCAGACCGCTGGCTAGAGTGTGGCAACATGGTAGCTGATCTGGCTGTTGCGTGGATGCATCTCGGGCAGACATGCGACTAAGGGCGTACTTCAAGGATCATGGAACTTGGTAACTACTGTAGGGCTATTCTTAAGGCAGCTATACTTATAGCCCCAACTTAAGGTGCTTGTACCTTTATTTCGTAAGGTCCACTATCCTGCACCGAAACCCCTAATCTTAATCCATACCTTGCAGAACCCTTCAAATTAAGGAGCCCTGTAGCTCTAAGTTAGCAAGTCTCAGTACCTGTAACCAAAACCCCTCCTCCCTCCCTAAACCCTAAACCCTAAACCCCTGAGGCCGGGGCACGATGGGATCAGCAGTACTGCTGCGGGTGCTATTCCTTCGGGCTCCAAGGGTCGAGGGGTTTGGGGCTTTAGGGTTTGGGGCTCCAAGAGTTCAGGGTTTTTGCGGTGCATTTGGGAGTTGAGGGTTTAAATTAGGAATTAGGGTTTACGTACTTGGGGTGTGGCTGGGATGCACGAGTCGTCGAGCTTCTATGAAGGCTTCGGGGCTTTGAGCTGCGGGCTGAAGGTGGAAGAGGCTTGCAACACCCGATGACTTCAGCTCTGCATGCAAAGCAGAGCCCCCAAAACTCTACAATCTCAGACTAAACACCGAGACTGCGAAAAACTTAGCCCCAAACTTTCCACACCGAAGCCACCCTGAAAAACGGTGGCTAGCACGGCTCGCCTGCCACCGGCACGTCCGCCGCTGAGTTTCCTCCTCGCGGCTATACTAGCGATGAGGACGAGGAAAATGGCTTACGGTGAAGCCCAGAAACTTAGAACGTCAATTTAGGATGATTGGTGCTAGGATCCCATATACTTCACCTTAAGGGCATGGGGATCATGATGTTCCAACTTTCTGGCTTCTACGTTAGGATTTGAAGACGATGATGATGATGAGGAGGAGGATAGGGAATGATGGTGATATTGATGATGGTGATGATGGTGATGATGCATGATGATGATGATGATGATGATGATGATGATGATGATGATGATGACGAGGATGGCGAATATAATGGTTAACAAGATGACGATGATGCTGAATATGAAGATGATGATGACGGTGATGGTGATAGCGATGGTCCTAATGATGATGACGATGAAGATGACGAAGATGATGATGCTGATAATGGTAATGGCAAGGATGAAGATGACGAATATGATGGTGACAATGATGGTGATGATTATGATTATTATTGATGATGGTGATGATGGTGATGATGGTGATGACAAAGATGATGGTGATGACGATGGCGATGATTAATATGAATACGAATATGACATGAATATTATGACGATGACGATGGTCAAGATGAAGACAAGTGCAAGTTTCATGAACATGATTGTCATGACGACGACGATGGTAATGCTGATGGTGATGACTTTGATGTGGATGCCCATGGTGTTTCATCTTCGCGGTATGAAAGCTTCACAGCCGCATGCAAGACTATGGACGGGAGTGCGATGCATCATCGGATCAGCAAGCCAGCTCAAAAACTGAGCCTTGCTGTTCATGTGCGGACTGTGCCGAGATTGCCCTTGGAAACGTAATTCGGATTCGGGATTCCCATGTTGAGGCTTAGATTAAAGCAGGTCTACGAACCCTGATTAACCCTTTAAGCTCTGAAACAATCCTGCCACACAATTACAACCTTCACCATAAATCCGAAACACTCTACCATGCTAACCTACACGATGTACTTTGGACTGCTCTCATCCACGGCGACCATGCAGTGACATGGGAGTTTTCAAGCACTGTGGGTCCCGACATGTCATGTCTAGGGTCCAAAACGTAGGGTGCCCCTAGGCCCTTTTAGACCCCAAACCCCAAAAGCTGCAAAAACAGCAAACCCAGACCCTGAGCCCTAAAACCCTAAACCCTAGCCTAAAATCCTAAGCCCTGCATGAACCCTAGGAACCCTAAACCCTAAACCCGTTTAGGGGTTTAGGGTTTAGGGGTTCAGGGTTTAGGGTTTAGGGTTTGGGTTTAGGGTTTAGGGGTTTAGGGGTTTCGGGTTTAGGGTGAACCCCAATCCCACGACTGGCCCCAGAACCCTAAACCCTCTTCTAGCAGTCGAAGCTCTGAACCCTGCTATCTATGAACCCAAAAAATCTGCGGACCCTAAAACCCTGAATTCTAACAGAGGGGCCTAAACTTATAGTATAGTTGTAGCACGGAACCTTTAAGCACCGATATTGGTGAAATAATTTCCTATACTATTTTGGGGCCCTCAAACCCTATTCTAACTATTAAGCCTCCCTATAATCTCCCCTCGAAGTCGAGGCTGCGGCAACCCGAAAAACGGCAGAAGCCCTAAACCCTAAACCCTAAACCCTAAACCCTGAGACAAAACCCGAGTCCTGCCGCCAGGAGAGCCATCCCCGGACCTGACTTTTTCGGTTTTGAGTGTGTTTGGGGGTTTACCTTAAGAGCCCAAAACCCACTTTTTTGTAGGCTCTTATTATAAACCCCAATATGGGATTTATAGGGTTTAGGGTTTAGGGTTTAGGACCCTACAAAAAAGTAGGCTTTGGGTTCTTAAGGTAGGGTTGAGGGTTTAGGGTCTAGGGATTTCGCAAGAAGTTACAAGGCTTATGGGGTTTAGGGCCAGTTTAGGGTTTAGGGACAGCGTTGTGCGTAAGCCCCGAATATCGGGGTATCTTATATGGACCGTGGGGGAGCATTGCTATCAATGAAATCAGAACCCATGTTACTTTGCACTGTGCAATTGCTGAAAGCCCTTTACAATACAGGAGCCTTAATAATCAGAATAGGGTTTTGGGGTTCCTTTTACCTTAAAGGGTTCTATAAGGGCTACGGTAAGGGTTTAGGGTTTAAGGGCCTTAATACTCAGAATAGGGTTTTGAGGCCCATTCTACTATAATTCTACTAAGTAACCCCAAAAGAGTATAGGTAAAACTTTAGGCCCCTACATCAAGCTGACCTTGTTCTCCAGTGGCCCCCTGAACAAAATCCTTTGGCCTATGACTCAGCTTTACAAAGGTGCCACCCTCCCCATGGAACAAAAAAGGGGCTTTCTACTGGGGCCTAGTTGTGGGCTAGAGGGCTAGAGGGTCTGATTAAAGTCACAGGGGTTTCAGGGCACGCTGAAGAGAGGGAAAGACACCCCTATGCTGGAGGGCACCTCCACCCTACACCCCTCAGAGGGAATGCAAAAAAACATGTTGCAGATGCCCCCAAAGAGAAACCATAAGCAAACAAAAACAAAATCAACAACTACCCTAAACCCTACATCCCGAAGTGCCAAACCCCCATACACCCTAAACCCTAAACCCTAAATCCGAATCCCAAAGCCCCAAGCCCTAAACCCTAAACCCCGAATCCCAAAGCCCTAAACCCTAAGCCCTAAACCCTAAGCCCTAAACCCTAAACCCTAAATCCGAATCCCCAAGCCCTAAACCCTAAACCCTAAACCCTAAATCCGAATCCCCAAGCCCTAAACCCTAAAC